CTCTCTCTCTCTCTCTCTCTCTCTCTCTCTCTCTCTCTCTCTCTCTCTCTCTCTCTCTCTCTCTCGGGATAAAGGAGAAGGTACACACACACACACACACACACACACACACACACACACGTTGTAGGCTGTGGAAAATCGAGGGATGAGGGAGTAGGTGGTAAGTGAGCAGGACCAGATCATAGGTAGGACAAGATGCGAAGCGGAAGATAATGAAAGGTGAGAGAGACGAGTGATTATGAGAATAGGAGGAAAGAGAAGTCGTATATGAGAGTTCGGATTGATAAAAAGCGTGGAGGCGATCAGCGATGGAAGATTGTGAGAGGTGGGAGATTGAATACGTCATGGGCACTACTACAGTAACACTAAGTATATTACAAGATATACAAAGGGGGAGGATGACAAATGAGAGCGCAATGAAGGTGACAGAATGGCAGAGAGACATGATGGAAAGTGGGGCGGGGGGAAAGGTGAGTGAAAGGAAGACACATCCGTCGACGTGTTCATACTTGGACTGTGCCTAAGGAACGAATTCGACCGCATCTATAGGTAGGGTGCATCGAAATATACGCACGGCGAAGCTCTGGGGCGCGTATGTCTTGATTCTTATATATTGTGTATACCTTATGACAGCACGGTCCACGTTTTCTTATTCAGTCCGCATTCCACCTGGGCAGTCAGTCGGTATCCCTTCTTCCTTTTTCTTTTTCGTTTTCCCGACTACCTTCTTCCCCCGAATACAACGTACGGTCATTATAGCTGTATATCGACTGACAAATACCCCAAATACAGCTATAATGACCGTATGTTGTTTTCTGTTTCACTCTTGCGTGGGATATCATATCCCGCCGCAAACAGCGGTTCTGCTTTATTTTTTTGTGTTTTTGTCACTTCATTATCAAGCGCCACGTCCTCTTGAGGTATCATTCATCATAGAACTGACCAGCCCAGTGACTTCAGATTCCTTTCTCTTATCTTATATTCCGTCAGGACTTGAACATGCGTCTGCTTATCACCACCAGTTGATGGGTGTATCATCACCCCCCTATCAATCGGTGATGATTATAAACCGCGACGTCTTCTTGAGGTATCATCATAGATACCGACCGGGCCCAGCGACTTCAGATTGCTTTACCTTATCTGATTCCATAAGGATTTGAACACGGGTCTGCCTATCACCACCAGTTGATGGGTGTACCATGGTACACCCCCCAAAGCCTTAAGGTATCATCATAGAACTGACTGGGCCCAGGGAGTTTTTTTTTTTTTTTTTTTTTCGCTTTCGGACTTTGTGACTCCCGATATGGGCTTGGCCGGTGATGCCTCGCTCACAATCAGGAGCCGCATACACATATGTGAGGGACGCCGGGCCCGCTTCCCGGTTTGTATGATCATTATCATTTTGTCCCGCAAATTCCGTTACCTTATGTGAGTGATTCCGTCAGGATTCGCACTGGGGTCTGCTTACTTATCACCAAATGATGGTCTTGAGGTAATCATCGACTGGAAAAGATTATAAAGCGCGACGGCCTTGAGGTCTGCCCAGGTACCATCAACTGGAAATGACTATAAAGCGCAACGGCCTTGATGTAATCATCATAGAACTGACCGGGCCCAGTGACTTCACAGATTCCTTTCCCTTATCTGATTTCGTCAGGATTCGAATTCGACTCTGCTCATCACCAGTTGATGGGTGTACCATCCCCCCCCATATGGACAGGGTAATGGTGCTTTTTTGCTTTTTTTTTTTTTCATCCTGACAGTGGCCCGATTTCTTTCCCCTGCTTTTTTTTTTTTTCTAAAACTAAGCTATATATAGTCAAACAGAGCTGCCAGTAGGCAGAGAGGGAGAACAATATATATATTGTCACATGATATCAGAGCGCCGAAGCGAAAAACAAAAGAAAACAAGGAAAACAAGAAAAACTAAATTCATTTTTCATCTTCTTCCTTACAACTCCCCCTGTTCAGAACCTCTTGCGTACAAGGCCGCCCACGTGGATGTAGGTTGAGCGGCGGCTGCCCCCACCCCCGTGTGTCATATGTTGATCTGTGGGATGTGTTATTTGCTTTGTGGCAATTGGATTATCTGTGGAATGTGTCATTTGCTTTGTTTGACTGATAGGCTCTTTCTTTCCCTGTCAGGTTTGGTTTCCTCCTCCTTTTCTTTACCACTTTGCCTTTTGGCTGCGTGGAAGTGGGTCCTTGTGACACACGGGGACGGGGGCAGCCAGCGCTCAACCAGTCGTCCACGTGGCTGGCCTTGTACGTAAGAGGTGATGAACAGGTGGGGCTTTCCTTCCTTTCTTCTTTTCCTTTCCTTGTTTTGCTTTTTTTCGCCTTCGCGCTCTGATTCATAGGGATATTCGCCTCTCAAATTGTTCCACTACCTACCTAACAATACTCCTCAGTTGGCACACTGACGAACTGTTGAAATATGAGTCAGACCCGAGTTCGAATACAGATACAATCAGATGACCAGAACAAAATCATTCTGAATTACCTGGGGCTGGTCAGTTCAATGATGATATCTCAAGGCCGACGCGCGTTAAAAATTAAAAAAAAAAACAAAGAAAGAAACAAAGAAAGAATAAAGAAAAGGAAAAAACGAATAAAAACGGGTGACTGACGCGGATAAAAACGTGAGAAAACAGTCGCGGGGTTGTTTCACACAGAGGTGCAGAGCAGCAGATCTATCGTGAGTTCGTGCACCTCTCCGCAAGCACGTCCAGATTCAGACCTTCCATCCAATCCTGTATGCTAGTCGGACCTTGCCCCAGGAAACACTCCCAATGGACACAGTCAGTAGCGGTGCAGCCAAGCAGAAGCGATAAACCAAGTATACACCAAACACAAGGCGATGATGAGGAAGACGACAAAAGAGAGACGAAAGGGAGAGGGTAGAAAATAGACGTACTAGGAGGAGAGAAAAGAAGAGATATGTCAGAAGGACCTGCTTTCTGCCATTGCCAACATTATAAAAGAGGGAAAAAAAGCGACAGAGACAGAGGCAGACAGACAGACAGACACAGAGAGACAAACAGACAGAGACAGACAGACACAGACACACAGAGAGAGAGAGCGAGCGAGAGAGAGAGAGAGAGAGAGAGACAGAGAGAGAGAGAGAAAGAGAGAGAGAGAGAGAAAGAGAGAGAGAGAGAGTCGCACCAACCTATTCCTGCAATGAAACAGGACCACATGACGACCGGCTCCCGAATCATCGCGTAGCGGATCATTTCTCCCATCGACCGCATTTTGCCACCTCCCTCTCTCTCCCCTCCCTCTTCCTCTCACACGCGCTGGAGTCGGTCCGACCGTTCCTTGCACACACCACACACTACTTGCAGCCTCCTGAGAACGATAAACTGAATCGCTGGCCGTCTCTCGAAAATTTTGGTCACTATCAAGGCGCGCAATTCTCCGTGCTTGTATCGTAATTTTGCGTCCTGTTTCCCCGCGTTTGGTCGCTCTCAAGGCGCGCAGTTGTTCGTCCTCGTAAACGAAATTTTGGGTCCTGTTTTCCCTTCTTTTCGCCTGAAAGAAGAACCGTAGTGGTGCCGCCAACATTTTGAATGCATCTAGACGTATTGGCCTGCCTTTGTGTCCAGATGCATTCAAGACCTTGGCGAATGGCAAGTTTCTGTACCACCCGCAGTCGCCATGGCGGGCCAATGCCCACTGCTGGTGGGCAGCAGGGGGATGATCTGAAAATTTCATTCATGGATTTCACCACCCGCCATCGGCCAACATTTTGAATGCATCTGGAGGCGTGTCTGTCCATATGCATCCAAAACCCTGACGGATGGCAAGTGGTGCAACTACGGGTAGGTCCTTCATCTCTACCGCCCGCAGCCAGCATCTGTCCTAAGACAGTTCCTGCGGTTGGTTGCAGAAAATTTTCCTGCGGTCACCATCAGTCTACCCGTCAGTTACCAGTTAGCGTCGGTGGAGGACGAACCGGTCCAGTACCTCCGAGCCTGTTTTTGCCGACCCTGAATTTCACTGCGCTCCGAGTTTGCCGAGCCTGGGTCCCACTCCATTTCTTTATGGTACTCCCACGGGAAAAAATAAACAAAAGGAAAAAATAAAAGAGAAGTTGCGGCCGTTAAACTCAAAAAAAAAAAAAAAAAACAATGCTCTGACTGTGATTGCAGTTGTACACATTCTTGGAAGTGGTAGTGTCATTAGTCAGGGCATCTCAGCCTCGTGGCCAGGTTGTCAAATTCCAAAAACACAAAAAAAAAAAAACAGAATGTTCCTCTAAGTGTCAGTGTGATGAGGGTTACAATCCTCTGAGGGAACACAACCCGAGCAGATCACAGATTCAGATTGTCAGATTCCAAAAAAAAAAAAAAAAAAAAAAAAAAAANGGAAACACGGATTCGACCGTGAAAATGGTTTGATACATCAGGGTTACAATCCTCTAAGGAAACACAGTCAGCGCAGATCACAGATTCCGCCCTGCCTCGTTGGCAGAGGACTCATAATAAACAAACGAGAAATTAAAATTAAAAAAAAAAACAAGTTTCAGAATGTGACCGTCTTTGTTGTAGGATGCATTCTATAGAGGATGACTGTGAGCACGGCCTCCTAGACTACCCTGCCCGACGTCATTGCAGTACATCCCTTTTTCTTTCACGCGCGGGCAAAAGAGAACTAAGATTTATGGGACTTGCCGGCCTTGGGTCCCACCACCCGATTTCTTCGGGGACAAACCAGTACATTGTAATTTCCCAACACTGGCAGAGGTACTGGTGGTGAAAAAAAAAAAAAAAAAAAACCTATGACAGGAGGTCAATAACGAGACCTGCATCAGGAGGAACGACGGTCTGGAATGAGAGAGGCATGCATAGATGAAGGATACAGATGGAGTTGGACCTAAGGACTAAGGACCATGAGCTCACTCGGTCCTGTCAAACTCACTCTCACAGGCAACACACCAGTGGACGCAGGTTGTTGCACCTGCTGTATCTCCTTTGTACTCCCCTATGGTAAATGTCCAGCAGCAGCGTGAATGCGCACACGAATCTGCAGGCCAGCACATATTTAAGTCTATCAGTTGGTCTCATAAAAGAGTCATTCCTACTTCGTTGATTTTGGCGAAAGACTGTCCTCCCAATAAGCCTACGGGTACTCTGGTTGGTCTAGCAGTCAGTCCGCTCTCGGTCAGTGCTTGCGTCATCATTGTCGGTCTTCGGTCAGAGGTCAATCTTTCTCTCTCCTTCACTCTGGTGGTCCCCAGCAATGAACACCTCGGTTTGTCGTTTTTGTGATCGTACTCCTCGTACCCCCCTTTTTGCCACCCTCAACACCAACACGCGCTCTCTGTGCATTTCAGAATGCTCCACGTCCGATTTTCAACCTCTTTCCTTCCAACCTCTTCAGGATGACAAAAACCCAACCTATGACATCTTCTTAAACCCTTTCTTCTTATCAACTCTGGCTGCAAACTCAAACACAGTAAAATATGACGAGAGACTAATCGCTGAGTTCACAACCCTTATCACACCATTAACAACTTTCACTGTCAACCCTCTCAGTCACGTTGATAAATCCTCGCAGCGTGTTCTCGTGTTCGACCCACTAACGATTACCCTCCTCCCTCTTCATCTCTTCAGTCTTCCCTTCTTCACTTCGGAGTCCTTTGCATGTTTGCAAGCCAGGCCAGTTAAAGAAAGATAGTACGGTTTTTCGTCAGACATTAGTGACCCTTTGGAGTTTGTCGAGAAAGCGACATTCTTCACGTTTCAAAACAGTGTTAAATCGTTCTATTTCCTAAAAAGAAAGAAAGTATTGGAACTCTCCTCCCACTTCTTGTACTCCAACCTTCTCATTTCTCTCATATTTGTCGGATCAAGGTGTATTGGTTTTCTTACAACGGAAAAACAAAATCGTGTCAGGCCGAATCTGACAATTTTTAAGGAGCTTCGAATTTCGTTCTGCTTCTTTCATTTCTGCCTTGCTTTTGCTATAAAACTTTCTACCAAATTATCAGGCAACTCCGATTTGTTGAGCTTAGAAGTGAATTTTTTATTTTTTTGCGCGGTTCCTAGGTTCATCTTCCCACTAGCGTTTTTCTTCAAAGGATTCTTCACGGAACTCGTCAAGGCAAACTTCAACCATCTGTTTCTGCATGCATTCATCTCAACTGGACCAGGACCATAGTTCAGGCTTTTGAAACACGAGGCATGTGAAACTCTTCCTGATTGCATTCCTCTTCCGCAAAGTCTGAGTGAATCTTCGCCTTCCTCTCTTCCCTCCTTTCCACTTACTCTGAAGACAATTGAAGGGACACACATTTTCACCTTCTTCGACGATCCGGTGGCTGATCAATATGGCACCCCAAAGAATGCCTAATTCATTCCCTTCAAAAATAAGAAGATCAGGAAGAACCTCAGATTATGTTTCCGCTTCAGATTCTCCTCCCCCTGAAGCCCCCACCTCGCTCCAGCCGATGTTACTAATTTCACTTCCCTCCCTCCGACCTAACCACCGTCCCACTCTCCCACCCTCCCCAAAATCCCTTAACCCCAAAAAAACTTAGATCAAGAAAGAAACCTAGGGTCTTTCGTACCCTAGATATTTTACTTTGTTCCTCTCTTTTTTTCCTCCTTCTCCTTAATCTCCTCGCCTTCTATATTTTCTGATTTAAATTTCTCATTCATTTTCGTTCCTTGTCCCCAACTTAAGATTGTTAAGGATCTGCTCAATGAGGGATTCGAAGTTGGGTTGATCAATCGTGTTTTCTAATAAACAAGGATATTTCATTCACTATACTCACTTTGTCTTCCGCTTGTATTTTGCTTCTCTTGCTTAAAAAAAAAAAAAAAAAGGCAAGCAAAAAAAAAAAAAAGAGGCAAAAAAAAACTTATTTAAGTTATTTACTTTTAATAAAAAAACAGTGTGCATTAATATTCCTCTTTCGTTGGTTATCCCCTTTGTAATTTTTAATCATGAAAAATTATTTTATCAGGATATGGATTCGATCATTGTCATTCTCAAAGTTTGTTATAAAAAAAGGACAAAGGATACGATGAAAAAACATAAATAAGGTATGAGAATAAGGATCAATGAAGACAGATGAAGTAACTTGAGATCACCACATGCGACCTTTTTTAAAAGGCAAGGTATAAGAGGTCAATCAACAATATCGATATTATTACAAGTTTATAAAACATCAGATGCGTGATGTATAGTTATTTAGTCTTAATCAATTTCTCTATGTTATCTTATTCTGAGAAGTTGCAATAAAACTCTTATTCATACCCTTAAGATGTTTTTACTCATCCGACCTATAACAATTATATCATATATTATTTTTTATTTTTATTTTTACATGTGGGAGGAGGGGGGAGGGAGCAGCAAAAAGAAACAACAATTTTCATTCACCTACTATTTTATTAATTTTCGGATCGCACTTGATTGGATTACTGCATTCGTATTCACATTCTTGTTTTTTCTCATCCCTCCTACCTTTTTAAACTTTCGCTCACCATTGGCTTACGATGTAGACTCCAGAAGCGTGCTGTCCCTCTTTTTCCCTGCTCCTTCTTATCCAAGCCAACCACCGACCACTCGATGAGGCCAGTCATCCATTTCCCCCCATGGTTCATCCTCACTTGCATACTAACGATAAACGGTTACAAAATAACATGTCCTCAATTAAGTACAACCAAACCAATATCGAACTTCTTACTTGATTTGTTTGTAAATTCGGTAAGAGGAGTAAGTTGTTGTACGGTATGATAAAACTGAGGTTGTCAAGTAACTTGCCCATAAAAAACGTCGAAAGACTTAGGCAGGAGACCACGAAGAATAAATTTAGCTTATATAAAAGATTGGGGATGGAAGAATGCAAATAACGTGAGGCAAAGAGAGAAGTCAGGCGAGGGGCCTAGAAGGCAAGGGACTATCCCAATGGATGCACTCAGTACTGTTCCCAAGAGTGCAAAGCTATAACTACAAACCACTTTCGAAAGATTCAGCATGTCTCGGAAACCGAGAACGAACTACCATATTTTTCAGAAGATCACTCAATTTTTGTCAAGGCTTGATGATCGGGAGGGGAAGAAAGAGGTGATTCAATTAACAGTATGCGGTCACAGACAGGTAATCATCATATCATTTCATTACCCTATAAATCCTATAAAGAATCATGAGTCCATCCACCTTTGAAGCTTCAACTTGCAATTTGTCACCCCATGACACTCTCTCACTTCAAAAATTATTAGTTAGTCATTTAGGTAAATACATATTAGATATGTTTTATGGCGGTGTCAAAACGTGCTTGCCCACATTTTTTTTCACTTTTTACTTTTTGTTTTCACTTTAGTTCGGGGTCTAAACAATTTTATTATTTTTTGAAACTTTTTTTGTGTGTTTTGCATTATGTGAAGTACACCTATCTAAATTTTC